AAAAAAATGATAAAATTACAGTTTAGTTATCGGCCTGTGCCGTCAACATTTACTTAATATAACAAATTTGTAATCTGCACGTGCTTAATGAGTAAACCCCGCACTCGGCATTTCATCAAAGAGTATAAGTGAACTTAGAGAAGTGAGTTTAGAAGCTTTATAAAAAAGATTTTACAATGCAACACTTTCGTGCATATGTGTGTGTGCGAGATCGAGGCTCAAGAGTAAAACAGAGCAATAGATTAGTTGCGTGATGTCGCGATAGACGGAGCTGCAATCTTACATGACAAGGACAGACAATCGTACTATCTTTGTCTCTTTCATGCGTATGAGAGTAATATACGCACTAACATTATTGCAGTATCTTTTCTCTCTCGATCATACGCTCTGTCTCTTTCTGAGATCGAGGCTCAAGAGTAAAACAGAGCAGTAGATTAGTTGCGTGATGTCGCGATAGACGGAGCTGCAATCTTACATGACAAGGACAGACATAATCGTACTATCTTTGTCTCTTTCATGCGTGTGAGAGTAATATACATGTACGCACTAACATTATTGCAGTATCTTTTCTCTCTCGATCATACGCTCTGTCTCTTTCTAATCGCTCGCTCGCTATGTATTACGTATCGCTTAGCTTCATGCTCCTCGCATATTCACTTACGCGTTCACTCGCTCTTCTCTTTCTCCCTCTCTCGCGATCCTAATATTTGTTATATCACGTGCGAGTATTATTTGTTTTATTAATTTTTAATTAGAGTTATATTTTGTTTCACGTAATAGGGAGCGAAATTAGTCAATGCAAGACGAAGGTGAAACCAGTTAAAACGATCGGACGGTTATTCATATTAGCTTTTTCGCAGTTTTTTCGGGTTCGGTAGTCCATTGTCGTCCGTAAACAAGAACAGACGGGCGTGTTCTTTGGACCTTGTTTTTGAGTGCATAAAAAAGTATACGGGATTATCAAATTATTAGTTTTGTTTTCTAATGTATCGGGAGTTAATCGGCGTTAAGTATAAACATATAAAAAAATCTATTTCCCTTTTTATATATATAAATACGACATAAAACCAGACTAGTGATGTACTATCGAATATGTATAATGTTGAAATGAACATCCGTAATTTGGACTTGTCAAAGAGATTTATGTGTGCCTGCATTTTTGGTTAGTATATACGCAATCTACAATTATGTGGTTAACTATAACAGGTTTTATATGGAAATCAGTTTTTTGTTTTTAGTAAATACCATGAAAAGGAAAAAGTGTAAATATGTAAATAATAACAATAATGAAATTGATATGTACAATCCCATCTCTGGTTGTTGAGGTTACATTTATGCAATATCATGTATCATGTATTTATTGTGAATATACACTCATTTAGATGCATTTTTATTAATATGAAGCAATTTGAAAATGATATGTATAATAAACCCAGACAGCACTATGACATCCTCGGGAAATCCGAAGGACATCCAGGACGGACATTACGGATATCCTGTGTATATCCAAATTTTATCCCGGGATATACTCAGGATGTCCTGAGGAATAGCAAATGAACACCTCATGCTATACCTAGAGATATCCTCAGGATAACCCATTTCAAAGTCCTACGGATGTCCATAAGATGTCCGTAAGACATCGTAATTCCTAAAACGTCCACAATGCATTCAAAATTAGTCCAGAATATGTTATCAAGGTACTTTATATGATATTTTAAAGATAACATATTGAATATAATTTATATAAGATATATATATTTTAATTGCCAGATAACACATGTATGTCCTCTGGAAATCCAAAGGACATCCAATATAATAGACAGGACAGATATCCTATGGACATCCAGGGGTTATCCAGTGGACATTTATAGGACATTAATACTTATTATAATACTTAAGAGTTCTAAATTATATTAAATAGCCTACATAACTGAAAGTAATCATGTATGCGTATTAAATTTTCATAAAATATATTTATAATGATATCTTAAAACGTCCTACAAATGTCCTGAACCGTCCTGGACATATTCAGGATGATCCTGAGGATGTCTTGTGCTGTCTGGGAAGTGTATATTTTTATCTTTCAGAATAAGTTTTTTTATTGGAGCGCTATATATATGGATAAAGAATATATAAACATGGATAAGATATTCGCAACCGAGAGATTACTAGTTCTAAACAAAAAAGGAAACACCTGTATTGTTTACCATAAAATGACAAAATCACTATGCTGAAGAGGAAGAAGAGAAAGAAATACATGATATTCTCAATTTTATAGTATTTACTTCATATTAATAAAATTGTATCTAAATAAGTGTATACTCACAGTACATACATGATAATATATATTGCCACATAACTGTAACCTCAACAACTAGGGATGAGATTGTACATATCAATTTCATTATTGTTATTATTTACATATTATTCTTTCCTTTTCGCGACATTTATTACGAAATAAAAAACAGATTTCCATATAAAATCTGTTATAATTAACTACATATTCTTTCCTCTCCTTCCCAAGAAATAATTGTACAGACTGCATATATACAAATCAAAAATGCAAGCACAAAAAATCGTTTTGACAAACCCGAATTACGTATATTCATTTCAACATTAGTGGTAGTACCTCACCAGTCTCGTTTTTTGTCGTATTAATATAGATATATGAATAGATTCTTTATACATCTACACTTATCGCCGATTAACTCCTGGCTCAAAAAACAAAACTAATAATTTGATAATACCGTAAATTTTTTATAGCACTCAGAAACAGAGTCCAAAGAACATGCTCGGTAACGCATTCGTTTGTGTTTACGGACAACAATGAATTATCAAACCCGAAAAGACTGCGAAAAGGCTATGAATAATATCCGATCGTTTCAACTGGTTTCACCTTCGTCTTGCATTAGCCGATTTTGCCTATTACATGAAACAGAACTTAACTTTAACCAAAATGAAACTATGAATATTAATAAAACAAAACAGATAATATTCGCACAAGATATAACAATAATATAAACTCAAAATTCAACCGCATAATTGACTTCTCGCTTAAAAAATATTTATTCTAACAAGAGTTTCACATGACGTGATATTCTTGTAAAAATAAGTTTCTGTTAGGCGAAAAGTCAATTATGAAATTGAATTTTGAATTAACATTCTTATATCCCAGCTATAGCCTCGAGAATCATACACGGCCGCGCGGTAAAAAGCGACGCGACGGCCAATCAGCTTCTTACTTTTTCGGAAGTAATTTGACGTAACAGAAGATGATTGGCTACCGTATCCTGTACCGCAAGAGACATGTCACGTCATGTAATATCCTTGTTAAAATAAATTTTTTTTAGAGAAAAAGTCAATTATGCTGATGAATTCTGAGTTAAGGGCGGGAGCACAGACTTTTGCATAAGCGCATAACCATAAGTATAAGAAAATGGACCAATCAATTTCCTTATGCGTATGATTATGTGCATATGCAAAAGTCTGTGCTCGCGATCCTAATATTTGTTATATCCCGTGCGAGTATTATTTGTTTTATTAATATTGTCAATGTTACCTATAGATATGGTTTCACAAGTTCCTTTCGAATATATGCATCTGGTATGCTTGGGAGTTATGAAGAAACTTTTATCCGCATGGATATGTGGTAAATATACACGTTTTTCAAAGTTATCAGCAAGATCCATTGCTATAATATCTCAAGGATTAGAGAATCTTAAAACATATTGTCCATCAGAATTTGCAAGACGTCCTAGAGCAATTCATGCATTTACTAAATACAAGGCAACAGAATTTCGTCAATTTCTGCTATATACAGGTCCAGTAGTAACGTATGGTGTTCTGAATCAACAAGTATATACTCATTTTTTGTTTTTGCATACTGCCATAAGAATATTGGTATCCACTGCACCGTCAAAAGCATATTTAAACTTTGCTGAACTTGTTCTACAAAAATTTGTTGCTCGATGTGAGAATCTTTATGGTTCAACATTCATTTCATATAATGTGCACGGTTTTCTTCATCTCACAAATGATGTGCGGCAGCTAGGCCCCCTTGATTCATTTTCTGCTTTCTCATATGAAAATAATATGTCAATTTTTAGAAAATACTGTAGAAAACCTAACTTTCCTCTTCAACAGTTTTCCAATAGGATGGCAGAGATGGAAGCTCGTGAAACAAATTTACATCGTACCCAAATTCATTTTTCCAAACTCATTGATTCTTCTACGCAAGTATGTGCAGCGTATAATGGAGGTCCTCTTCCGCCTAATGTTAATCCCAACAGCTGTCAGTATCGTAAATTAGTATTCAATGGAGTTTTGTTCAGTTTGGATATACAAAATAATTGCTGTATTTTACACGATGAATCGATTTGCCTCATTGTCAATATCTTCATGGACAAAGCCATATATTATTTGGTTGTAAAGAAATTTCAAAAGGTAGATTCATTCTACGATGTTGGTATTTCGTCTTCAGAAATTCAAATATATAAATGTTGCGCATTAAGTAGTGAGATTTTTTGTATCCAAGTAAATCAAGTACGCATCAAATGTTATAAAATGCCTTATTGGGGTAGTTCATCAATAGTAGTAGTGATGAAGATGAGCCAGAAGTTAGCGAGTATGTAGTTGCTGCAATTATACATACAGATGATCTATAAAATAATAATACTGCATTTAGCTGTTCTCTTAGATATAATATGCAGGAAGGAAAATAGAATCCACACGCACAGGATGATTAATAAAATACAGGTTGGTATAATTGTTTCATATATTTCTTTTATTCAGCCTAATTAGAATGGAAATGATAATTAAATTTTTTAAACATTTTAGATGCTCTCTACATTTCTGCGTTTGACAAAACAGGAATTATTTTTAAAACATAAAAATATATATGTAAGTATACGAAATGTTTAAAAATTTGCTTTTTCTCTGTTTCATTTGCTATTTTTTATAATTTCATTTCATAAAATAATCAATACGATCCAATTTTTTTACTTTTTTAGGAACTGTTTTGCATATAATGATTTTCTTGACTGCTCTATACAACGACTACTCTACTGGTTTCTTTTTTTAACTAACATTTGAATCTATACTTTTTTATTTTACTTTATAATTAATATCATATATATATATTTACAGAAAAAAAAGATATGGAGAAGGAGAAACGTCCCAAACGGACTGTCATCAAACCGCGACGATATCAGACGACATCTTCGGACGAGGCGGATTCAGGGAGAAGAACATTCGTGGAGCTACAGAGCAACCAATTAGAAGACGATATTGCTGAGTTACGGGGAGTATTAGAAAATAATTCTCCCGATATTGATATGCATGCTCACTCTAATCATTCACTTACTTACACACCTTTAATTGATCACACCAAACATGCCAATAATACACCACACACTAGTGACACAACACATTTATTGACTTATACACAACCAACTGTCAATCATACAACACAAGCATTCTGTCCCAATGATACAACTTATTCATTAGCTTACACACAACCATTAACTACTAATCACACAACACAAGCACCTTTCATGCATGATAAATCACAATCATTATCCCACGCACAAAACTTTCATCATACAACGCAAACATTCACACACGAACCACATGCGTCTGTTACTCATACACAAACACACACACAACATATTGGTAACAGATTAAATACATCATATAACACTCAGTTACACACTTCAAATACTTGGCCGATTGAAATTCGTCGCCTGCCAAGCCCTGCACCATCATCATCGCGAGCTCCAGGAACAGGAGAATTTTATGATATGAGACCAGAAATTCAGTGAGTATACATTAAACAAAGAAATTTTTATAATCGAAATATATTGTTGCGTCCCTGCGGGTCGATCTAAGGCGGTTTCATGAATCTGCTGTATTCGTCTCCGGGAAAACGTTGCTAAGCGTTGTTGTTAAAACAACGGCGGACATCTTGGGAGAGATCGGCCATCTTGAGTTTCGCGACGGATGTCATTCCGGGCGGACATATTTGAGATACGATTACCGTTATTACCCGTTCTGTGTTCCTTGTTTAATTGTGTGTTCTGTGTTATTATTAAAGTTCCTTTTGTTCTTTTAAAAGAGTGTTAATCATTTACGTCGCGGTACGCGAGTGCCGTTTGTGTCGCGCGTGTTCGAGTATTATCGAAGTCGACGCGCGGACGCAACATTTTGGGGGCTTGTCCGGGATACGACGGAGTGGACGATTTTCTGGAGAATTGTGTGTTTCTTTTCGTCTATAAAAAATGGAACAGAAAAATTTGCCGACGGCAGGAGTTTCGACGAGAAAGAGGAGTCGATTGACTTCAACGGCGGCTACGACATCGGGACCATCATTGGAAGCGATTACACTTCAGTCAGCGATGCGAGAGATTCGTGAGCTACGCGAGGAGCGGCTGCAGCAGCGAGCCGATTTTGAGACGCAATTGCGCCAACACGATGAGCAGCGAGCTGTATTTGAAGCACAACTGCGCATAG